CAGCTACACAGTAACACGACATGTACCGAATGACGTCAGCTACACAGAAACAGCTACACCGTAACACAGACATGTACCAAGTGACGTCACATACACACAGTTACCGCGGCATGCACCGAGTGACATCAACTAGCGCTACACATGGATACAAATATCTATAGACATTTATTGAGGGACGGTTATATGAATGTTGTGCCTCTTGGTATAGTATTTTCTATGTCGGCTAAAACGTTGTATCTTCACCTAATCGTTAGATATTACTTGCTCTGTTTGGTCCCACTGTAAGCCTTTATACGAAATGTACGTACGACCTTTTATTTAGTTGATTACAACACTATTACATTTAATTAGGATGTTGCACAGCTTTGCCCCGGTCTTTATATCAGGGATCCTTCAAGCGCTATACAAATGGTATTTAAGGTGTGTCTTAGGATTTTAGGATGAATATCATTGAAACATATTTTAGGTGTGGTTTAAGACAAGTGAAGATCTGTTGAAGCTTAGCGCACGTGTAAGTATTGGCTGTTGTATTTTTTTTCCTGCGATGATTTTTTTCAAGTTAATTAGATCTCCAATTCGGTGTTTAACTTTCTTATGCAACTGAGTGGCTTTTCTCCCATGTTGTATTACTGACATGACTGTTATAACTGTAGACAATCAATTATTCGCAAACATAAGCCTTCAAACTGTAGAGGAATGATTTCAATTAATCCGTCAACATTTTATGTACAACAAATATGTATCGAGCGATGAAATAGTTTAACTACTATCAAAATTAGTTTCTTCCTTCCTACACAACAATGAAATATCCCATGTATTTTTGTGAAGTTCGAGTATGTGCTACATGTACCACATGTAATTGATCACGTGCACTTTTTGCTGTTCGGGGTGGATTTGCTATTGCGAAGACTATCAAAGCTATGATAAAGTCTATAACTCTGCATGTGTGCGCGAGACATCGATCGCACCACAGGAACTAAAGAGGTATACTCACAGACAAGGCCAAGGTCGTGTGCTGTGACGTTATGGAACACAATCAAATAGAGTGCCCGTCCTTTGTCTTTATATATAGACACATTCGAATGGATTAATGAAGACTGAGGTACTACAAATGGCACTAAATGAAGATGGGAGACACTAAACACTGTCTGTGATTACTTCATACGGATCAGGTAAACAAAACGTCACTAGGCATAATATTGTTTCCGCATTTCAATGTTATTACATTTAATAGAAATTTGGCGATAATTTTTCCATTTGGAAGAATAGTAACTAATCAGTAAGAAGTGCCCGTAATATGTATTACCTCTGCTGGTTAGTTTATCAGTGTTTAAGGCCGGAAACGTGTATTATTATTGACATTAGTGCTTTAAAGTCATAATACTGCGAAAGTTATTGCTGCCAAGGTCATGCTACTGCGAAGGTTAATGCTGCCAAGGTCATGCTACTGCGAAGGTTATTGCTGCTAAGAGCATGCTAATGGGAAGGTTATTGCTGCCAAGGTCATGCTACTGCGAAGGTTATTGCTGCCAAGGTCATGCTGCTGCGAAGGTTATTGCTGCCAAGGTCATGCTACTGCGAAGAATATTGCTGCTAAGAGCATGCTAATGGGAAGGTTATTGCTGCCAAGGTCATGCTACTGCGAAAGTTATTGCTGCCAATGTCTTGCTACTGCGAAGGACATCGCTGTCAAGGTCATGCTAGTTCGAAGGTTTTTTGCTGCCAATGTCATCCTACTTCGAAGCTTACTGCTGCCAGTGTCACGATACTGCCAATGTACAGCTTTAGCCTCGGTCACACCGTAGGTTTGTTTACTGTAAATCTAGGTGTTTGTCTGAACCATATTGTTGTAATACGGAGGACAAAAAAACTTGGATTCGAGCAGGGAAGCTCCAAACTGTGGGCGGATGTTCTTACCAAATGCGCTATCTGGTTGAGTGATAAATCCATTCCTTGCCCCTAAGTCAACACGGTTGACATGCAGGCACCTGCCTCTCGAGTTAAAGGAGTGGGTCTACTTTACACTTAATATTATGGATACAGTAGACCCCCCTCTAATTTGATTTGAGAAGCATGTACCTGTGCTCTGACCCATTTTGAATGGACATGGGGTCACATGATCTACGTACTTTACACGTAATGACAATGACATGATTAGGTGGTTTTCCCTAGCACATGTATGGTTCCATGTCACCCTAGTTTACGTATGACTGTGTTCATACACTTTAGGGCTTCTTTGGAGAATATTTAGAATAAAAGTCACTTCGCGCACATTGGCTATGTAATCTTATCTCGTTATCAGAACAGTTCTGAACTTTAAGAACGTTTCTAAATTGCATGCTATTGTATTGAGTTTCGGTGAGGTGCATATACGATTACATGAATATAAGAAATGGATATTAACCGAGACCAAGTCTTTGTCTGTAACTATTTTCAGGTTCATATAAGAGTTGAACGGCAATTTCATACCGGTATGAACATTTGAAAAATGTTTAATCCTTCTACTTACATTCTAGATGTTTACCTATTATTGATCTGACTAATCTCTTATTTTTCCGATATTGAAGTGGTTATGTTATCATGCACACACAGTGCAAACGAGATTCCTGGAACAGCCTAATGTCATCACTGAACTCGGATTAACCGGAATTTGATCCTGGATACACCAGAATGTACTTATAAGGTCAATATCCCACGTAAAGGCGTCAAAGATAAAGTAATAATGTGCTCTTTACTCAATTGGTTAAGTCTCAGTGATACATCGACAAAATAAGGTCGTACAAGACCACACTTGAGAGACAGATACATATTAGTGTATGGAAACTTAGGACACTAAATAAAACAATTGGATGTAAGACAGAGGTAGCTTTTATTGCGATAAAGGTCACAAAAGGTGGCTATCATGTTACTGGTAGAATTCGTATAGTAATATCAAGGTCACAGCTAATGGAAGTAAGATCACAGGAATATCATGTACCGATGTCAACGTCACAAACAAAGGTAACATGTACAAATACAAAGGTAGTAATCCGGTGCATATTTCAAGGTCATGCGAAAGGTCACGTATATACGAATTATGTACTTAAACACTGTACCAAGTTAAGATATGTCGTTGATGTGCACCTATTACCGCGTCGTTTTTTGTTCAGAATGAGGTCAAGAAGGTGACCTCCACGTCATATGCTTTACCCTAGAAATAATTTGTACTAGTTGTGATTCAGCGTTCATCTACAAATAGGTACATATACGCGAATAAGAAAAAATCTTATACACTTAAATATATATGTTATTTTCTCGGTCGCGATACGTACGCTTTCTCTATACTCGAACGCATATAACTGCGTACGTGTAGCTATTCCTTTTGACGTAAACACTGATCTACAAACTCATTGATACATTCCATTTATTATTTAAGGAAAATGAACAGTGAACGCCGGTTTTCAAAAGAGTATATAGCAGTTATTAAAAGAGTGCTGGTTGAATGGCGCAGTGGATAGCGAGCTCGCCTGTAACTCTCCCTTCTCGTTTTTGTAAAGTTTCGATGGTTCCCGATTGATCACGTGTCGGAGACCAAGATTAATTCTTCACTTTGTTTCTTCCTTTTCTATTTTTGTTACTTTCAAATTCATAATGATGTGATAGATTGAAATATAGCATTTTTCCAAGTCAAGATTTAAAACATTTCACAATATTCCATTGTTTGTGAAATCCGGGTAATTTTACCGTCACGCTATAGCCTGTACTAGTTTGCACGATGACCTGCTGAGGTCGACGTGGCATTCCAAATGATAAATGACAACAATGGTGATCATTACAGCTACGCGGCAGTAACCAAGACAGGCTTATTGATTAGCAAATGCTTCGGGAAACATCAATAGTTTTAACGGCATGAACAAATGCATGACTGTATGATAGGGCTGTGTTTATTAACTCTTATAGTGCACTATGTACAGGCCATTGATTCAGGCTGAAGCGCAAGCGTTATACAAATGTTCATTGTGATAATACAATTAGGTGTCATAAAATGACCATTTTCATATACTACTCCGTATCAACCCAAGACTCCCAGGCCAGCAAAATGGGCAGGAGGCCCGAGGGCTGATATGGGTTGATAGCTGATACGGAGTAGAATATGAATTCTTCACATGATAAACCTTCCTATCATGAACCGCATGCGCATCCACATTACATAGCAATAACATGTAAAACACATCTGATGCCGACTATAGAGTGCAATCTTACTGCAATTCCATGTCAAAGGCATCAGTGGCGATCGTTTGTACTGACAGTACACAAAGTACTAATCCAGGTCATATTACTGACAATGGTAAACCAGTCCTTACGTGTACTCAATTCAAGCTGGACTTTAAGGAGAGCAGCAAGTACAGTTATTTTAGGACTCTAGTAAGGCCCGGTCAGGGGACAGAACCTATAACTATCAACCCCGGGCGAACGTTCAATACTAAGGCCAAACGCGAGGAATGTTCAAGTTAGGCGTAAAGAAACAAAAAGTAAGAAAAGAGAGAAAATAAATAGATCCAAATGTTGCAATGGGTGCTACAGATTTATTTTGGTCGCTTTCGTGTCCCTCAGTACAGGGCAAAAAGTAAACCCACAATGTTTAATGTGGTTCTCTATTGGCCGCATTTAAACACTCTATAATCGTATCGGTGTTGTAGGTTTGTTTGTCTTTGTGGTTACATATCGTATTATGTGGATTATACAGGCGGCTCAGTTCCATCAAGGCTCTTTACTTTGAGAACATTGTCAGTTTCCAAAATTAGATTTTGAATATGGACAAGGAAGCGAACCCTATTTGTATTGTGGTAAGCAATCATTTCTCGACTTGAAAAAGGGAATGAAATGCAGAAAACTTTATTTTGAATCATTTGAGTTGAACTGTAACATTATTTGATTCAGGAAAATTGTTATGAATTTTCGTAACACCTGAAGCCTGACATATTACTCGTTTTTTAATCAATCTCCTTTTTTATATGCAGGTGAGGTCACAATCAAGAAGGGATGAGGAATCCTATCGCGTCTACATTTGTACGTTCCTGACAAATATAAGAAATATAGTCTACACATCAGTGCCGTTTTGTAAAAGAAACATGACTCCCGTGTGACGGTCGTGCTTAAGTAGTGCTATTACTTCCAACATCTTTACGGTATAAAAAATAACATCTACCGACGTGATGTCGTCCGGAAATGATTCTGACGTTAGATATATTACATTGGGCGAGTTTCTTCAGGAAACGAGATTCGATGCACGTCCCTCCAGCTTGCCGGGAAACAATCAGACCAGTGACATCTTCCCCGAACAGCTGGACACAGACGAAGACCTGCTTGACGTGCCAAAGCAGGCAGACATCATTCGGAACATGATCTTGAAGGAGGAACATCGAGACCTAGAGGAGCGACTGATGAGGATACGTCACAAAGAGCGTAAGGAAACCGTTGACTATCGTATCGACGGCAGCTCTGCCTTTTTCATTTGCTGCGCTAGTAATAATGTTGATCTGTGTAGTTTTCTGCTAGACCGATGCGGGGCGGATGTGGACCAGAAAGGGACAGATTCGCCTTTTGGTTGGCAGCCTAACTTGCCGTTGTGTTCACCCCTTTGTTGTGCTGCCAGACACGTCGATTCGTTACCATTAGTTCGTCTGTTGATAGAACACGGCGCTAATAAGAAAGGTGTGGACGAGACTGGAACGACCGCTATACAAATCGCATGTCAGACAGGCTGTATGGAGACTGTGCTGTACCTTTTCGAACACGGGTATAGTGTACACGACGTCTCTCCCACAGGGAAGACGTGCCTCATACTAGCTGTACAGAATACTGAGATATGTAAGTTCCTGATATCTAAAGGCGTCGAGGTGGACCACGTCGACAGCAACAGTTCGTCAGCGCTTCACTACGCCGTGCGTGACGGTCAACTGGACACGGTTAAGTTGTTTATAGTATCAGGCGCTGACGTCAACATGACAGACAAACAGGGTCTGGATGTTATTTTGCGCGCGGCGTCGGCTGTACAGGTTGGAGTGGTAGAACATCTCATGCATGACCCGTCTATACCTGCGCGGTCTAAAGTACTTGCGTACAAACTTCTCGGAAGCAGCCTGGCTGACACGGGCAAAGAGCTAGAGGCTGTATATTGGTGGGACAAGACCAGACCCCGCGAATGTGACTTCGCTAGTGACGACTACGTCCAGCAGCTCATAGCAGACGGACGGAAGTTATCAGTTGGCATTGCTAGGTCCTCACAACCAACTGAAGAACTTGAGCTTCTTGAGAGGATTCAAGCATATTCAGTTCGAGTCAAAATTGAAATATTCGGACTTTGTCATCCACAGACATACAAAAGTCTTTGTAGATTATTAAATATTAATTTCCTCATGATGAGTTTGAAACACAGTCTCAAATTACTGCGGTACGCTGCCGAGGTGTTCGTCCAAAAAGATCAGCTTTGCAATAAAGCGGCGCCGTATATCGCGTCCCGGTTAATGAAAGTGTTCAACAGGATCTGGCAATGTAAGAAAGAAGTAAAACCGGAAGACAGAAGCAGTATCATAGCAGAGGTCATCGATATACTGGGAAATCTCATCGACCATGTATCGGAACAATACATACAGTCGCGCTCAGATTCGGTGGAGTTCGAGCAAATGGAGGACGACAACATATCTTCTTTTGTTGGGCTTTCCAGCGTGTATTCTCACAAACATGCGGAGGTGTTTGAGTGGATGTGTTTGGCGCTGGATCTTGTGTGCATCGTTAGATCGTTAGAACCTAACATCCGAGAGGAAGCCAAGCTCATCAGCCATCTCAGCAAGCTGGTAGAAGCAGATCCGAGAGGTCCATCAGAAGAAACACTTCTCCATATCGCCGTTACCTTGAACCCCAACTATCGACCATACCTCTCCACCGACATGGTGTTTCGCTGTAACAGGTACGAGGTCGCGCGGAGCCTCATACACGCAGGTATTGACGTTAACGCTATTGATGTGAACAGGAACATACCCCTTTGCTCACTTTTACAGGTAAATGCTAATTGGATTGAGGATGAGAAAACATTGATCAACCTGTTGTTGGAATACGGTTCCGATATAGATATACGTAACAAGGACGGACTTACCACTCTCGCGCTGCTTCAACGTGCAGGGATCACAATATGTCAGCTCAATTACCAAAAGCTACAGTGCTTGGCGGCGGCTACCATCAGGAGCCATAACATCAAATTCGCAGGATATGTTCCGAAAAAGATTGAAACGTTCATAACTTCCCATTAATGTCCATTCTAGTTGAGACACCTGTGACCTGATTTTTAATGCGGGTGTGATGTGAATCCGGATCACCTGAAGGTTTTTTAAACGGGCCAATGGCAATTTCTTATGTAACACAATCAATATATTGGAGGTGTTACATGTAAGACATAACTCCGTTAATTTGATTTTACCTGGAATATCATTGAAATACATTGATTTTCCGGATTAACAAGGAAGGGATGTTCCTGATAAAGGTAATCGATCGCGAGAAGTCGAGAAAACCGGGGTCCGGATGAATCAGTTTTTACTGTACTTTTCTGATGTAATGCGTTGCCATAAAATTGCCACTAAATCATTTTTTTCTTGTATATAGAGGTTCTCAAATATATTGATTCGGCCTCAAGAAATATGACATACATATAGTTATACAAGAAAATCAACCCGCCATGTATTGCGAACCATAACTTATATTGAAACTGTACAAGCCATGGTCCTGTGAATTACACGTGTCCAAATCGTGGAACTATTTATAACACGCTTATAAATCACCGGATTACGAACTATACGTGTAACGATTTTATGCACAACGAGAAATCCAATGGGTACAGAAACAAATGTGGTGTTAATCGGATATGATATATCAAACTTATCACATTGTACAGGACACCTGTGATAGCCACTGTAGTGTACAATACCTATAGCCTATATTGTTGTTATATATATACCATTGTTACAAATTTCTAGTGTATTGTCCACCTGTTCTCAATACTATGTAGATATACGTTAAGGAATAGTCCAGATGCAAACAAGAAATGGAACTATATGTGTACGATATTTATGTCTTAAGAAATGTATAACAGGTATGACGTTATAATCGACGTGATACGCTAGGGGACATGTTGCATGCATGATAAGTGTAACATGTTTGAAACGGACACTGCATTATTAGGAAACTTGTGTTAATTGAACCTTCTGCAAGGTCCCAATGTGTGTATTTCTATTTAAAACGTGTGTAGACCAGGTACGTTACTTGGCCCCATCTCAGGCGCGTAGCTGCCATGTAAACATATACATATAGAAAATCCTCATATGAATTATTCAATTTGTATTTATCATGTGTGGTCCGAAATAGTGATTAACTGTTTGCATGCTTTTAAAAATTGTTAAATTTCGCTGTTCTTGTCCATTATAATGAACCATATATTTCCATTGCGACTGCCAACTATTGCTATTGCATATTCGGAATCTATTGTACTGGTGCCCTGCATGCGAATCGTTTACAGTCCAGCTACACGCCTGCACAAACTACACCAGACTCTCCCACGCTGTATCAACCAAACCAGACTCTCCCACGCTGTATAAACCACACCAGTCTCTCCCACGCTGTATAAACCACATCATACTCTCCCACGCTGTATAAACCACACCAGTCTCCCCGGCGCTGTATAAACCACACCAGTCTCTCACACGCTGTATATCCACACCAGACTCTCCCACGCTGTATAAAACACACCAGTCTCTCCCACGCTGTATAAACCACACCATACTCTCCCATGCACGCTGTATAAACCGCACCATACTCTCCCATGCTGTATAAACCACACTAGACTCTCCCGCGCTGTATAAACCACACCAGTCTCTCCCACGCTGTATAAACCACACCAGTCTCTCCCACGCTGTATAAACTGTATAAACCACACCATACTCTCCCATGCACGCTGTATAAACCACACCAAACTCTCCCACGGTGTATAAACCACACCAGACTCTCCCATGCTGTATAAACCACACTAGACTCTCCCGCGCTGTATAAACCACACCAGTCTCTCCCACGCTGTATACCCCACACCAGTCTCTCCCACGCTAAATAAAACACCCCAGACTCTCCCACGCTGTATAAACCATACTAGTCTCTCCCACGCTAAATAAACCACACCAGACTCTCCCACGCTGTATAAACCATACCATACTCTCCCCCGCTGTATAACCCACACCAGTCTCTCCCACGCTAAATAAAACACCCCAGACTCTCCCACGCTGTATAAACCATACCATACTCTCCCCCGCTGTATAACCCACACCAGTCTCTCCCACGCTAAATAAAACACCCCAGACTCTCCCACGCTGTATAAACCATACCATACTCTCCCCCGCTGTATAAACCACCCCAGTCTCTCCCCCGCTGTATACACCACACCAGTCTCTCCCACGCTAAATAAAACACACCAGCCTTTCCCACGCTGTATAAACCATACCATACTCTCCCCCGCTGTATAAACCACACCAGTCTCTCCCACGCTGTATAAACCATACCATACTCTCCCCCGCTGTATACACCACACCAGTCTCTCCCACGCTAAATAAAACACACCAGACTCTCCCACGCTGTATAAACCATACCATACTTTCCCACGCTGTATAAACCACACCAGTCTCTCCCACGCTGTATACACCACACCAGTCTCTCCCACGCTAAATAAACCACACCAGACTCTCCCACGCTGTATAAACCATACTAGTCTCTCCCACGCTAAATAAACCACACCAGTCTCTCCCTCGCTGTATAAACCACACCAGACTATCCCATGCTGTATACACCACACCAGACTATCCCACGCTGTATAAACCACACCAGTCTCTCCCACGCTAAATAAACCACACCAGTATCTCCCTCGCTGTATAAACCACACCAGTCTCTCCCTCGCTGTATAAACCACACCAGACTATCCCATGCTGTATACACCACACCAGACTATCCCACGCTGTATAAACCACACCAGTCTCTCCCACGCTAAATAAACCACACCAGACTATCCCACGCTGTACACCACACCAGACTATCCCACGCTGTGTATAAACCACACCAGTCTCTCCCACGCTGTATAAACCACACCAGACTCTCCCACGCTGTTTAAACCACACCAGTCTCTCCCACGCTGTATACACCACACCAGACTCTCCCACGCTGTATAAACCACCCCAGTCTCTCCCACGCTAAATAAACCACACCAGTCTCTCCCTCGCTGTATAAACCATACCATACTCTCCCACGCTGTATAAACCACACCAGACTCTCCCACGCTGTATAAACCACACCAGTCTCTCCCTCGCTGTATAAACCACACCAGTCTCTCCCACGCTGTATACACCACACCAGACTATCCCACGCTGTATAAACCACACCAGACTCTCCAACGCTGTATAAACCACACCAGTCTCTCCCACGCTGTATAAACCACACCAGTCTCTCCCTCGCTGTATAAACCACACCAGACTATCCCACGCTGTATAAACCATACCATACTCTCCCCCGCTGTATAAACCACACCAGACTCTCCCACGCTGTATAAACCCCACCAGTCTCTCCCATGCTGTATAAACCATACCAGTCTCTCCCACGCTGTATAAACCACACCAGACTCTCCCATGCTGTATAAACCATACCATACTCTCCAACGCTGTATAAACCATACCATACTCTCCCACGCTGTATAAACCACCCCAGTCTCTCCCACGCTGTATAAACCACATCAGTCTCTCCCACGCTGAATAAACCACACCAGTCTCCCCGGCGCTGTATAAACGACACCAGTCTCTCCCACGCTGTATAAACCACCCCAGACTCCCCCACACTGTATAAACCACACCAGACTCTCCCACGCTGTATAAAACACACCAGACTCTTCCACGCTGTATAAACCATACCATACTCTCCCACGCTGTATAAACCACACCAGTCTCTCCCACGCTGTATAAACCACACCAGTCTCTCCCACGCTGTATAAACCACACCAGATTCTCCCACGCTGTATAAACCACACAGTCTCTCCCATGCTGTATAAACCACACCAGTCTCTCCCACGCTGTATAAACCACACTAGTCTCTCCCACGCTGTATAAACCACACCAGTCTCTCCCATGCTGTATAAACCACACCAGACTCTCCCACGCTGTATAAACCACACCAGACTCTCTGACGCTGTATAAACCACACCAGACTCTCCCACGCTGTATTTACTATGATATTTTGAGTATGTTTAGCTGTGGAACTTAAATAAATCGCTGTATATGTTTTTAATTTAAATTGGAAACGAGTGACTAAAAATTTATATATTTCGAACAAAGGTATTGATCCTGGAGGTGTTCGATTTAGAAAGCATACACTATATTATTCATGTTTAGAGGTTTATATATGTTGAAATTCTCTCAATTTTGTATTTTAATACGTGCATACGACTTTAAGATGAATGCCACCATATAGAGTTAGAGAGAGAGCTATAGTTATCTCCCTTGAAAATGGAGACTATACCTTACACATAGGGTCAGAACATTACCTCCTATAAATACGAATGTTATCTTCAGTCGGACCAGACTCGGCCATTTCCGGGAAATGGAACTCAAGGCCATTTCTGATCTACATCTTCTTCAAACATATCCAACGAGTATTTGATTACATAAACATGTGTCTTCTTTACTTCAGATTTTCCAAGTTTTTTAATACACGAACAGCAAGTGTGTCAAATGGATCTATTTTAATTCATCTTTTTGATCTAAGTGAGAAGTTCAAGATATATGCTTTATTTTCTGGGGGTTTTGTTTATGCGGGGCGGGGGACAATGCGTCATTACTTCGCAATCTTTCGCTAAACTGATCGGATCAGTATACGAAGAAAAAGGGCAAAGAGATCCGAGATCCGAATGATACTATATTTGTGGGTACAGCAACCACAAAGGTACATGGAGTTGTATGGTAATTACATGTAGGTACAGCAACCACAAAGGTACATGGAGTTGTATGGTAATTGCATGTAGGTACAGCAACCACAAAGGTACATGGAGTTGTATGGCAATAACATGCAGGTACAGCAACCACAAAGGTACATGGAGTTGTATGGTAATTACATGCAGGTACAGCAACCACAAAGGTACATGTAGTTTTATGGTAATTACATGTAGGTACAGCAACCACAAAGGTACTCGAAGTTTCATGGTAATTACATGTAGGTACAGCAACCACAAAGGTGCAAGGAGTTTCATGGTGATTACATGTAGGAACAGCAACCACAAAGGTACACGGAGTTTCGTTGTAATTACATGTAGGTACAGCAACCATGAAGGTACACGGAGTTTCATGGTAATTACATGTAGGTACAGCAACCACAAAGGTATACGGAGTTTAATGGTAATTACATGTAGGTACAGCAACCACAACGGTACTCGGAGTTTCATGGTATTTACATGTAGGTACAGCAACCACAAAGGTACACGGAGGTTCATGGTAATTACATGTAGGTACAGCAACCACAAAGGTACACGGAGTTTCATGGTAATTACATGTAGGTACAGCAACCACAAAGGAACACGGAGTTTCATTTCAATTCACTTTTACAGGCTTTTTTGTCTAGCTTTTATGATAAACTGTTTTATTGTGATTAAAATACTGATGTTGGCTACACTTGTTTGATTTTATGACATTTTCAACACTGTGGATTTAAGTGATATGTGAAGCTAATATGCACAGTTTTAAATATTGATGTGTTTTATCTGTTTGTCGTTAGGTTGCCTCAATTATACTTACTTCTGTCGGGTTCGAGAGTCGGTGTACTTTCAACACACAAAAAATAGTATGGTTTAAAACCATATCGACTACGAACCTCAGGATTGCTTGCATACAAAGACCGGTAACTCTTACATTGTATGAAGTGTACGAGTTCTTTTCTACTGCTGTAGTATATGGAGACTGTCTGTTTGGGAAAATGTGATTCGTAGAAGTAAAATAGTGTCTCCATAGATGTAGTCATGTTAGAGTTCGTATATAACGATCCCTCATAAAATCTACTCCATTGTTCGAGATGAAATGATATTTGTATGTATGCATGATTCATTGTCAATTCAAAATGTTTTAAATCAATATTTCACCCTTGTTATCAGTTAACCGCCTGAATCAATATAAAGAAACGTTCACTGTAAAATGAAATGAAACTCCAATCTCGCTCTTTCGAATAAACATTTTACATTCTATATCACGTTTTCGTCTGGAATACAGGTGCATCTTAATAAAAGTTGATAGTTGATAGTTAATGTTTGACTCTCCAACGTGACAGGATGACAGTGCGTGAAGACCTACTCAAGTCTTGTATAGCTTTCTCGGCACGACGGTATTTGATTTACAATAACTGCAATTCCTGCATGTGTATATATGTACACATGATCTGAAATAAAACCAGTTGTTACGTGTTTAACTACTTTATTATATCAGCTGAAATGGCAAAGATTTATTCTCATTTCCGTCAATATTTGATTGTTTTGGGTTGAACGTCTTTGTAATACAAACAACGTATGGTCACCATGACGACGGGTGCCCAGATAGACACCAACAGGAATAGGGGAGTGGGAAAGAACGTTAATCATTTTCAAATTGCTTTCCAAAATCAATTCAATGTTTGCAATTTTCTGAAACCAAGTTGCCTCCCTCCCTTGTGTAGTATTTAATCTCCGAATTGAGCAGTATTTTTTCATCATTTTCTTAAAACCCCGTGTTTTTTAGCATATTTCCTCTTGGGTCCTGTTATCAATGGGGAGATAAATCAAGTTATCCTGAAGATTTATAACATATTTCACAAACTGTTAGGACGAATTTGATATACAGAGAATATTTTGCATTGTCCCCTTGGTAAATTGCTACTCGAGCAATACGGACGTTTCTGATGTTTTCAAGAGACCGAATTACAATTAAATTCAAATACAGCACAATCAACTTTTTTTGTTACGTCACAATTAGCTTATTCCATTACCGAGGAAGTTATTGCTGCATTACCCAATGGATTATACTGCTAATGTTCAATATTTCACCGAAAAGATGCTAAAATGTACATTGTACAAATTCGAGTTGTCTCCCTTACTTTGTAGATGTTGTAACTCCGCCAGATTCAAGCGAGGGTTATTTTACTTGGTTCGCCGAGTCGTGAAAGTTAAACAACACACAATGAAATCATATCCGAAAATTCTACATCCATGACACTAACAAAAATATTGAGGTTACAACAAATACATCCTCGATATTCCAGGGGTTACAATGTACGCTCTTTTATCCTTTCTACCCTCAACATAATCACTCGACAGCATGACTGTAAAATATATCAGCTTGAAGTCGGGTGTCACTCCTCTGTAATTTTCAAAGACATGAGCCAGCCTAGCGATTAGTCAATTTTTATACCCGATATTAATCTAATAGCATACTTCGTGACTTCGCTTTGTCATGATATATTCCTAGGGTGAAAAGAACTACGTGGGCGTGACTCATTTCGAAGATGACATTTAGAATATCTGAAATACTTTTACCAGCCTTTCATTATATTATTTGGAAAGGAAAGAAGCTTGACTAGTCATGTTTTCCCTGTTTATGTGTTTATGATTACAGCAGCCGTCTATGACACAGTAATACATTGCCACTTGAATTTCCGCGCCTGTCGCTGACGAAGTCATAGACCGGAATACCTGGAGCTTACAAACACTGGAAGTCACATGACTAGCGTCAATTAAATAAGAGGAAACGTCGGTTTGTGAAATAGAAAAAGCGTGGCAAATACAATCCTTGTATGTCTTCTTAATGGACGAGTCAGAAAACATGCCACATCAATTTGGTATTGTTTGTACTCTACTTGGGTGTTTATGTGACCGCCCTATGTACAAGACCATAGGATTTTAATTAAAAGAAGCATACATGAGAAACAAATACTTATGTAGGCAACAATTGTGAATATTTTTTTTTAATTACATATTCATACTGCGGGGAATAAAAAGAGTTGGGAGGAGAGTGGAGAAAATACACAGAACCCAACCAGACCCCCACCTGAAATATAGGTGTTGAACAACACGAACCCCTTGTCACACAGATAACACGCTAACTATACTCTCTGGGATATACGTTTTATTTATCATCATTATATTCTTGATCAGCCAATCTGAAAAAAATAACAATAAAACTTGAAAAGAATTTATTATTAATAGAGTGTTCATTCCTGCTCTATTTGTCATTTTATAAATGTAGCATTTCTGATCTGTTAGCTTAACGCAATATAATAAACTAGAGGTTTGTTTTTGAAAATAAAACAGCATATGTCTCCCATTATTAGCCGATATGCTTTCAAAATGGAAATGCGTTAATGAAATCAAATGACCGTTTATCTACAATTTAATTAAATACATTTATGTTATTAGGGAAACTCCCTACAGATACATTATATAATACATATATGAATCAACGCAGAACGCTACAACGGGGAAAGACACAATGTCCTTGCAGTTTAAAGGTTATCAATGTAAAGTGTGCACTTATTAACATTTGATCTTGATATCAACGTCACAGTAATCTAATAGGCACATTACACATCATCTCTAGGTGCAAGTTTCTTTATGATATATTTAATTGTTTAAAAGTTACAACCTGGATAAAATATTCCCAAAAAGTTTGTAGTTATTTGACCTGTACAGAAAGATGGGGGGACATGTCGTGTGTTGAAGTACTGTACCTGTACAGAAAGATGGGGGAACAGGTCGTGTGCTGATGTAATGTACCTGTACAGGGTGATAATGGGACAGGTCGTGTGTTGAAGTACTGTACCTGTACAGGGTGATAATGGGACAGGTCGTGTGTTGAAGTACTGTACCTGTACAGGATGATAATGGGACAGGTCGTGTGTTGATGTAATGTACCTTTACAGGATGATAATGGGACAGGTCGTGTGTTGAAGTACTGTACCTGTACAGGATGATAATGGGACAGGTCGTGTGTTGATGTAATGTACCTTTACAGGATGATAATGGGACAGGTCGTGTGTTGAAGTACTGTACCTGTACAGGGTGATAATGGGACAGGTCGTGTGTTGAAGTACTGTACCTGTACAGGATGATAATGGGACAGGTCGTGTGTTGATGTAATGTACCTTTACAGGATGATAATGGGACAGGTCGTGTGTTGAAGTACTGTACCTGTACAGGGTGATAATGGGACAGGTCGTGTGTTGAAGTACTGTACCTGTACAGGATGATAATGGGACAGGTCGTGTGTTGATGTAATGTACCTTTACAGGATGATAATGGGACAGGTCGTGTGTTGAAGTACTGTACCTGTACAGGGTGATAATGGGACAGGTCGTGTGTTGAAGTACTGTACCTGTACAGGATGATAATGGGACAGGTCGTGTGTTGATGTAATGTACCTTTACAGGATGATAATGGGACAGGTCGTGTGTTGAAGTACTGTACCTGTACAGGGTGATAATGGGACAGGTCGTGTGTTGAAGTACTGTACCTGTACAGGATGATAATGGGACAGGTCGTGTGTTGATGTAATGTACCTTTACAGGATGATAATGGGACAGGTCGTGTGTTGAAGTACTGTACCTGTACAGGGTGATAATGGGACAGGTCGTGTGTTGAAGTACTGTACCTGTACAGGATGATAATGGGACAGGTCGTGTGTTGATGTAATGTACCTTTACAGGATGATAATGGGACAGGTCGTGTGTTGAAGTACTGTACCTGTACAGGGTGATAATGGGACAGGTCGTGTGTTGAAGTACTGTACCTGTACAGGATGATAATGGGACAGGTCGTGTGTTGATGTAATGTACCTTTACAGGATGATAATGGGACAGGTCGTGTGTTGAAGTACTGTACCTGTACAGGGTGATAATGGGACAGGTCGTGTGTTGAAGTACTGTACCTGTACAGGATGATAATGGGACAGGTCGTGTGTTGATGTAATGTACCTTTACAGGATGATAATGGGACAGGTCGTGTGTTGAAGTACTGTACCTGTACAGGGTGATAATGGGACAGGTCGTGTGTTGAAGTACTGTACCTGTACAGGATGATAATGGGACAGGTCGTGTGTTGATGTAATGTACCTTTACAGGATGATAATGGGACAGGTCGTGTGTTGATGGAATGTACCTTTACAGGGTGATGGGGGAACATGTCGTGTGTTGATGGAATGTACCTTTACAGGATGATAATGGGACAGGTCGTGTGTTGATGTAATGTACCTTTACAGGATGATAATGGGACAGGTCGTGTGTTGATGGAATGTACCTTTACAGGGTGATAATGGGACAGGTCGTGTGTTGATGGAATGTACCTTTACAGGATGATAATGGGACAGGTCGTGTGTTGATGGAATGTACCTTTACAGGGTGATGGTGGGACAGGTCGTGTGTTGAAGTGCTGTACCGTTACAGGTAAATGATGGGTCAGGTCGTGAGTTGATGGAATGTACCTTTAGAGGTAGATGATTGGTCTGGTCATGTGTTTATTAAATGTACCTTTACAGACTCTCCCACGCTGTATAAACCACACCAGTCTCTCCCACGCTGTAGGGAGATGATTGGTCAGGTCGTGTGTTGATGGAATGTGCCTTTACAGGATGATAATGGGACAGGTCGTGTGCTGATGGAATGTACCTTCACAGGGAGATGATTGGTCAGGTCGTGTGTTGATGGAATGTACCTTTACAGGGTGATGGTGGGACAGGTCGTGTGTTTATGTTATGTACCTTTACAGGGTGATGATTGGTCAGGTCGTGTGCTGATGGAATGTACCTTTACAGGGTGATGGTGGGACAGGTCGTGTGTTTATGTTATGTACCTTTACAGGGTGATGATTGGTCAGGTCGTGTGTTGATGGAATGTACCTTTACAGGGTGGTGGTGGGACAGGTCGTGTGTTTATGTTATGTACCTTTAATGGTAAATGATGGTTCAGGTCGTGTGTTTATTGAATGTACCTTTACATGTAGATGATTGGACAGGTCGTGTGTTGAAGTACTGTACCTTATAGGGAGATGATGGGACAGGTCGTGTTCTGATGTAATACACCTTTACAGGGAGATGTTAGAACAGGTCGTGAGGTGATGTTATGTACCGTTACAGGGAGATAATTGGACATTTAATGTACCTTTACATGGTGCCCGTGGGGCAGTTGTGGTATGTAAGCACGTGGAGCTCCCTGTGGGTACACTTGGCCTTCTGGTATTCACACCTGTAACAAATGAAATTAAAAGAAAATTGAACGCCATAGATTAGCATCATTTTAAAAGGCTAATGTAAATCCGACTACTTATTATAACTCTACATCTATGTTTATGCAAATGCTGATGTTAACCCAACAGCTAGTGTTGACTCAGCCATACGTGTTTATTAAATTCACAGAAATTCAATAAATTTACCAAAATTCAGTATTTATTCGTGTATACCTATTTAATTGACAGAACAGTCGTTTTTCAGAGAGGGTTAGAGGTATTCTTTCAATTACGTCTCAATAAAATGATGACGTCAACACATGGCCCATGCTATTCGAATTCATAGATGATATGAAAGCAATCTAGATTTGGTAGGATTATATATTGGCAATTGTATACCGTTATAAATGTTAAAGATGAAATATTGGGTTAAAAAAATGTATAGACCTAAGCTCTGATCTTAACGTATCAGCTACTGAAGAAATGGGAGGAACTGTAATGAGTCGGACACGAGGAAGACAGCTCCGTGTTTTCGTCTGTTTCCTGGGGTCATACTGTTTGAAACAACGACATTTGATTCAATGCGTGTATTGTGATGCTGATTTAATCAGAGTGTATTAAATCCCTCTCCCAGACCTAGTTGTGGGGATATCGTTTCAAGCACATGTTTTACGTACGCATTGTCGTATGTCCTGAAATCACTTCCACAAATAGGCTCCGACTCTGTACCACATTTCTCATGACTGATCTCTAAACAGATGAAATCCAGGACGGCTTCCGATCCACTCAAGAAAGGAGGCGAGGTAACGGCGGGCATAGAGGTAACTACTCCACCATTACCACCAGGGGTGACGGTTACTGGGGCGACGGTAGATGGCGATCCTCCGGGTAGCGTTACGTTGGCACAGGAAGTGTAAGCATACACGTGTAAATCCCTGTTGTCACAGTGGGCCTTGGAGAAATCACACCTGTGAAAGAATAAAAATGTCAAATAATTTGTATAAGAGATACCTCCAATATTATCCATAACGTGTTCATTAACATTTATTATCAACATTTGCAATATGGCTGAACTCCCGCTGAGTTATTATTGTGACGTCATATCTCTTTTGCTGTTGTTACGTTATGACGTCTATTGGTCACATCAACACAAATGAGGTCATTAGGGTCAATAACAAGTAAATGAAACATGTTAAAGAAAATGGCATCAAACGAACGAAAAGGAAAAGACAAACATCAACTTGAAAAGAAGAAGTCACTATGGTAAGTTGTATCGTTTTGAACAGACCAACAGTTTTAGGTAGGTACGAATTGTAGAGATATTGACTGTTTCGAAAAGTGTTATATTATTATAATTCTTCATTTTGTTGCCCAAAGGTCAAGTAATAAGAATGGGTAATGTATGTACAGCCTCGATTTGGCGATGTTTTAGTTTGGGAGTAATCTTTAACATCTTAAACGGGTGAAAATTATATGAATATTGGGAGGGAAATAAAATCCTTCCAAGTGTAAGGGCAAATCAGATAATCAAATCCTTCCGACTGTGAGGGCAAGAAAGATAATAAAATCCTTCCGAATTTGCGAGCAAGACAGATTTATTGATAATCACACTGTATTTTCAGGTGTTTTTTTTGTGAGAACAATTTTCTCATCGCGAGCACGTTGATAAGATCGAGAGGCCACCGCAGGTGGACTAGAGATTTTATCTACAATGTACGTGCGAGCGATGAGAAAATTGTTCGAACGACAAACACTGAAAATACTGTATGCTAAACTATTTATCATTTTTACCTTATATATTTCTCCATTTAAAAAACTCAACCAAACACCATGTTTTCCAAATGACTTCTAAGTTCAATGGTCAACGATCGCCTATGACAAACGTAAACAAATATACCTTTTTTCGCGAAGGAATACAATGAACCTTAAATCTAAGTAGATTTTCTTTTAAACAATCCTATCGTCATTGGCTTTTTTCCATATGCACATTTACACCTGAAATGATGTTGTTATTTTCATATTTTTCTCCGTAACGTTGTATTGATATGTTTATGATGGACTATTTTCTTACGCAGATCACTTTTGTGCGGACACTATTTCCGGTTTCGGACGTCATCTGGCGCGACCAGACGCTCCTTTTTGAGAATATATGTTCCCAAATGCTGGGGGAAGGGAAAATCCGTTCTCAAGTTCTTCTCATACTGACAACCAATGATAGGCCTAATGAATTTCATGCTACCGGTAGGTGGTGTAATGTACTTTATCGCACCTGGGACAAAAATGTCCGAAAAAAACATTGGTTTAGAGCTGTCACGTGGTGACCCTCTAATTTTCTATAGAGGGTCAGTAGGATGCCATTATAGGGCAATATGGCCGCCCATTGCTCACCGCTTTAAAACTAAAACAACAGATACGGGTACCTGACTATTCTAAAAAGGATTCGCTACATTGTATCGTTAGATGATAGGAGTTGCCTCCCCTACGCCAGGCAAAAATAGTAATACGTTGTCGCCAGGGACCGTCTTTTGTTTTAGCGTGGGGCCGTCCCCTTATCTAAGCGTTTCGGCGACATTGACAGACAACGATGGAGAGATTAACGCGAAGCGACTTTCATTTTAAGCAAAAAGGGTCCTCGATGCGTTAATTCGTTATATAGTCAGTTACTGACCCTCTACAGAACCATAGAGGGTCAGTAAGATGTATAGGAGGTTCGGGCTCCACCCTCGCCCCTATAAATCTTACTGACCCTCTATGGTTCTGTAGAGGGTCAGTAACTGACTCTATAACTAATAATATAGATGATAAAATAAAAACCTTCCTACTGTGAAGGCAAGACAGATAATAGCATCTTTCCGACTGTGCGGGCAAGACAGATAATAATATCCTTTGGACTGTGAGAACAAGACAGATGATATAATCCTTCCTACCGTGAGGGCAAGACAGATAATAAAATCCCTCCAACTGTGAGGGCAAGACAGATAATAAAATCCTTTCGACTGTGAGAACAAGACAGATAATAAAATCCTTTCGACTGTGAGGACAAGACAGATAATATAATCCTTCCTACTACTCTGAGGGCAAGACAGATATAGAAATCCTTCCTACCGTGAGGGCAAGACAGATAATATAATCCTTCTTAGCGAATGGACAAGACAGGAAAATCGAGTGTCGATATTCATGGTTGACTAGTTTTAATGGAAGTTTGATTAACCGTAGGAGACGCTCCTTCTATTCTCCCAACATGCATCCAATTGTCTCCCCTAATACCTGTTCAAATTTCGTCTCCGTTTCTATGTCATACCTAAAGGTATACCAGACAGCAGCCAGACAAAAAAGCAATGCGCTACTTTTGTTACATTTAGCTTTCAACGGGATCGATTATGTGTAAACCCCGACATGAACAGGTTACAACATAACGAACATAGTGTTTTTCGACATGTTGTTGAAATAACGGGAGAACGAATGATCTCATCTAAGTAGGATATGCCAGACAAATCTCAATTCTCGGACTTGAAGTAAGCCCGGCTAGACAATAAGGAATAGCACCACTCCGGTTAAGTTTTCTCTGTAAGGGAATTAAGTTTACTTCAATTCTGTTTATAATGTGCTCCAAACTAGTGTTACCAACATAGGTTATCTGTTACTCGTTCTCAGTTGGCACAAGATTTCTCCTGTCGAAACGTGATTGTGACGTCATATTATTATACTATCTGTTAAACCCCTAGATACCATCCAGCAAAACGTGTTTTATCGAGATTTAAATATCTTTATATTATATTTTACTTTGGAAAAGTACCTTTTTCACTCTGTTTGGGACCAGAAGAGCACGACATGCAGTTATAACTATATATTTGTCAAACTTTGAATTCCAGTATTTAACTCTAGTGTTACTAATATAGCAAGACCGACTAAAAAATGCACAATGGCTTTTAGGCTTCTTTAAAGATAGAAAAACTATAGTTAAACCTTATACAAACAAAAAAGAAATTTAATAGGAAAAGATCAAAAACTGAACATATAACTGAACATATACAGCGAAATGGTCAGATATTATAAAAAAATATATACTAAAAAAAATATTAGTATGGTTTAAACCAATATACATAACTAATTTATTGAGTAGAACAATATTTTCATATTATACACAAGATAATATTCGTCTCGAATCTGTCTAAAATCATCACATAATTAATATGTGAGGCACAGTAATGTTTGTATGAATGACATGAATGACAAAAGGGCTGCTCTTGTCCCCAAAACAAATTTGCATGCGTATAATATGTATGTCCTGTGCAAAGTCGTGAAACGACGACCTCTTCAAAAAAGTCTTCTTTGCTACGGTTGTTTGAACCGCACAGTGGGTTAAATTACAAAGAGTTAACCATTAACATTATCTGACCATCTTTGATGCCAGTTACGTTTGATGAAACTGGTAATATCAGGTTCAATACCAGAGTAAAGTATTAAAAATGGTTACTTGGTTGCAAGTTAGGATGGTTGGTTGTATTGGGCGTAACGTTCTGTCAACAGAACCGCTTTCGTTTATTGCGGTCGAAGCGATTGAACTGATTTGACCTGAGTTGTTAGTTTATGAAATAAGTTTCGGACCCAGTAATCTGATGCTGCTTACAAGCCTTGACAAAGCCTTGGAAGGTGTGCACAATTTTTCGCAGGGCAGCCAGGATTTATACCCGAAATTTTATAATAAAAAACAGACGATCCGTTTGTTCCACACATTTAGGACGTGTGTGTGTGTTTGTGTATGCATGCGTGTGTTACTGTGTGCTGGAGACATGGTATGCTGATATCTTTACCTCCTTGTGGTAGCGCCGACTTTATAGTGCTACCTCACTGATATACCATATCGAAGGTATCCAGCAAATCATACAGATAACGGATAAACCAGATGTTGCAATTTCCCAAAATGCTGAACGTTAAGCAGGGAATAACAACTTCCAGTTTTAAGGACTTTGATATGTTCTTACATGGGGATGGAACACACTGATTCCACAACTGGGCGGACATTCAACATCAAAGTCAAACATGAGGTAATTCAAAGGAAGGCGGCAAGAAACAAAACGTAAGTAAAAATAGAGAAAAATACAGAGATTCCAAATATTGCAAAGGGTGAAGCAGATTAATGTTTGTCGCTATTGTGTCCCCAAGCATATTGTATGAACTCCAAACCGATTGGAGACTTTGTCGTCGCCATAGCCTTCTCTATTATTGCTATGCCGATGACACACAAATTTACATGTTCATAAAACCACAGGACAGTTGGAATACAGTCTCAGAAAGTCTGGAAGCTTGTCTGACAGATATCAGTATATGGATGAACGCCAACATGCTTAAACTTAATCAGGAAAAGACGGAACTAGTTGTCTTTTCCCCAAAGTGTCAGCAAACAATGGCTCTCCAGCTCAAGGTTGGTGCCAGAACTATTTAGACTGTTCCAGCTGTTAAAAACCTAGGGGTATACTTTGACAGTTCTCTGAACATGGAGAAACAAATCCTGTTACTACCAGAACAGGATCATCGGCTGTACTCGGCAGTTTCTAACTGTAGATGCATGCACGATTTTGGTGCATTCACTTGTTACCTCTCGGTTGGATGATGGTAACGCCCTGCTCTGTGGTATATCTGACAAACTAACTAGTCGTCTGCAGAGGGTCCAGAACACTGCAGCACGGCTAGTTACTCGTACTCGAAAGAGAGAGCACATCACACATGCGCTTTATTCGTTGCACTGGTTACCTGAACGATACAGGTCGCAGTATAAAATTCTGGTAGACACATACAAGGCACTGAATGGAACAGCTCCTCAGTACCTACAGGAGCTTGCTACCCTGTATCAGCCGTCAAGATCACTGCGGTCGGAGTCAGAATCTTTGTTGTGTGTCCCAAAATCTCGTACTGTGACCTACGGAAACAGATGCTTTGGGAGGGTTTCGGCTACGTTGTGGAATAGCTTACCATCTGCTATTAGGAAGTCGAATACCCTGGCCAAGTTCAAGAGGGACATAAAAACTCACCTCTTCACGTCTGCATTTTAGAATCTTTGCAAAGACGTCATGTAAATACCACCCTTTTATTTGTTCAATTATGTGCACATTGCTTGTTAAATGTATGAAAGTGATTGCAAGCCTTTGTTGTTTGTTTTCACAATTATAACCATTACTATTATCCATATGTTGTAAAGCGCCTTAGAGTAATTTTACAAATTATATAGGGCGCTATATAAATGTTGTATACTATTATTATTATTATTATAAGCAGAGGACACAAATGCAAGGCCTCAATGCTGTAGGGTTCCCAAATTAGCCGCCTCTTACGATCGATGCAGTGGATAGCACCAGGCGTATTTTTTTCTCAATCCCCGACCTGCAGGGGTGTGCAGGTAAAGTGGTGCTTTTGCAACTTTGGCGACAAATTCGTTTCCACCGATTCCGACATGATGAGGGACCTATAGAAACATTATATGATAGTATTCTGCAACAGAGTTGATATATGGATGAGCTGCTGATTGTGACTTATCAAAATTACGAGAATTTATACCTAGAAGGACAGCTGACGAATCGCTTTAAATTGTAGCTTTTCTGATCAGCATAGTTTCGATATCATTCAGGGCAAGTCGACTTGCTGTTATTTCTTTGATCAAAATAGATCCGCAATCAAAAGGCCAGCAGGATAAAGTTCTGTTAGCTACAACACAAGCTACTACGACTTTCCTTCCATCTTTTGAGCCTCAGTGTACTTTAAGGATGTGTGGCGGAGGTTGTAATGTGTATTCGCAAAATAGATTTTTCTATTGTTGTAGCCATAGCTCCACATTTGGTGTTTGAATTGTCAACGGGCGAACATCTGGTATGCTTTTGATTTCTAAGGGGAATAAAGATGTCTAAATGTGACGTTGCCATTAGTTTTTGAAATCGAATGCCAAAAATGTTGGATCAAATATTCGTTTCTGTCAAAATGATTACCATTATTTGTATTAAAACATTGTTGATGAGCAAAGTTATCAGGGTGCGATTTCAGCTGATATCTACAAGCGATGGTTCATTTGCAGAGACTTGCAGAAAGTGTTGTACGGAAGGAACTCAGCACCAACCGCATGCCCTGGTCCTACCAACCGCCAATGTTATTTAATGACGTGCCTCCATGTGTGTTGTGTTTGCGTGCTTGCGTGTATGTATGCTGGAGGTAGGGTATGTTTATGTATTTGCCTCCTTGTAATAGCGCGGATCTTATGCTGACTTTATAGTGCTATCTCACTAAAATGCATTGCCGAAGGCACCAAGCACAACATTGCGTCCGGTCACATTATACTGACAGCGGGTGAACCAGTTGTTGCCATTAACCTGGATGCTGAACGTTAAGCAGGGATGGGATTAAGTATCTGCAAATTGTGGAACCATATTCAAACTTGAAACGTTTAAGTGACCGGTACAGACGCAGCAATACGCGACCAGTACCCAAATCTGTATGGGTCAGGACCTTGAGTATGTTTAGAGCTTTACAGCAATTATCCTCTAAGTGTCTTTTATTCAATATAAAGGATAAATTAGGATCAAAAATGAGTTCGTGTAATTTTGTTTCCTGTACAACGAGATTTGGGGATTCTTCTAACGTTAAAGATTGATTGTCATAGTGTTTTCATAGTTGACAAAATTACATGCATACAGTTTAAGTTTTCAAAAGTTTAAAACCATTTTCGTCTGACCAAGTTTGAAGTCTTGTATGACATTGCTGTTATTATCGTCCTTGATCAAGGTCATATTCATCGTTCGAAAGACGATCATAAAGTCGCCGCAGCCATAGTTCCAACAGATGCCGCTTTTAGATGCCGGTTGCCAAATGATGCATCACTATTTTCTACAGAAGCCCACGCTATCTATCTCGCCCATGAACACATTAAATAAAGTGGTGTACCGAAGCCAATAATCTATTCTGATTCTTTATCTGTTCTAGCATTCACAACACTTTGAAGAATATCTCAATTAGGAAAATATTAACATTTTTACATAGCACATGTATTACCTCAAAATGTCACATTACATTATGCTGGGTTCCCGGACATGTGGGAATACCAGGTAATGAAAAGGCAGATCGCGCCACCAAAGCGGCTTTATTGCTACCACCTGTTGATTTTAAACATCAGTTTTGACATATTAAATCCTTGTTACTTTATATAGGTGGTCAAGGTAAATTTTTCGAAATAGTTGCCGGGCTCTAACCGAAGAAGCACCCAGCAAATAAACAGGACCAAGGCGTCACCCTTCTGCACCTGTAGGCTAAAACCTACATAACGGCTAGAAATCAATAAATGATAAAAAAACGATAATTTTTTGTGAAATGTCACTATTTCAATGATTTGCACTTTGTGCATGTAAACCTACGTGGCGGTTATATTTCACATAATATCAAAGATCAATTTTTAATCCCCTTTGATTCGGGTGAATTTGGGATAGAAGTCTATAACAAAACAGTTTCAAATCTCCACAATTGCCTTGAAACAAACTATTGAATTTATTTGATATTCTTAAGGACTTAAGATTAACAATTATATCAGATAACATCATCTGATATAGTGATATTACCTATTCGATATCAATTTAAATAGAATTAACTGTAAATATAAGCCAAACGCCACATTTACCTCCGCCCCTTGTTATTTTTAGGTTTACCATCTAAGCAATCACTTATGTAGTACCTGTACGCACCATAAGGATCCGTTGACAAATATTTGGGGAGGTTGGAATACCGTCTTTAAAGAAAATTTCCAGGCAAGAGGGTGACCCGAAGCCAAGAAAAATCTCACATGCATGTAAATGAAACTTGTATTCTATACTTTATCATATACTTCTACAAAGAAACAGATTGCAATGGACACCTTGTTATCTTAGCAGTGATATATATATACCTGTTCCTGTACGTCACTCCGTCTGTTCCACACTCTGGGCTGTCGCCATATTTGTAACAGTCTCTTGCCTCGATGTATCGACAGCTTATCGAGTCAAACCAATTAGAACTTTGCGCAGAACATGCTGAAATTGAGGTATGGTTCGCCTTATTTTGCAAAGAAATAATATCAGCACTCTACGCATTTGTTTTTAAACCTGGTTACCTAATTGAATATATGACTTTGTACCAGCTGCTAGTTTAATACATAATGGCCGACTCTCCTGTGGAATAAGGGACCCAATCTTGTGTCTTTACTCGTCGATTCCGTATATATTAATCCCACCTGAGTAAAGATACATTTATATCACTCTTCCATACGGTACCGGAAACCTGCACAATATTAAAACTTGAATCGCAGTATTAATTATCTTTCTTTGGCCTTCGATCGTAGTTTGCAATATTGTACTGTATAGCGAAATAAAACAACTTGAGTTTTATATTAAAATAGATAAACAGTTTCTGTGGATCAGAGCAGGCACAAAACAATGTCAAATTCATCGCGTGTAAGTGGAAGTTTTTGAAAAGAAAATAACATTGACGATGGGTTTACATTTCATTTCATTTCATTTAACTACTACTTTCAATTCACATTTGAAGAAACAGAAGCCTACCTGAGCAAAGTATTGAATAATGAAAACCTCGGAAATCAATGTGCCTGAAAACAGCCTTAACGGCACATAATGTAGACATGTCATGACAACATTGTGATTTTTTCTTTAGATTTATATGCAAGTACAAGCTGCCCCCCCCCTATCAAACATTGCTTTATTTCCAAAAAATGAAAACAAGGAATATCAATTTCAATAAAAGATAATGATATATTTTACAATTATGCAGAAACAGGCTGTCCCAAAACCCCCAGAAAATCATTATAACGTACACCTGTAAGTGTAAAGCTAGCTTCATGTTCACATTGCAAGTTGCACTTTTAGCTAGTGAAAAAACATATTTATAAAAATAAATACACACAAAATAGTCCATTAATCTACAACTTCAGGTTCTCCATCTTTAGGATTTGTAACCTTAACGGTTTAGGCAATTGGTCCCTTTTTAAGTTATTTGAAGAAGTTGTCTATCTTGTAAACCCCGACATAGTCTACAAACTACATCATTATAACTTTTACAAATATTGGCTTTGGTGATGGTTACGTATATTCCCTCTGAGTTCAGTCAATCGGGTGACTTAATTACCTGTTGAAACGTCATCTCACTTAAATGTTATAACATGACCACGGTAGCATGACGCTACGACCACACACAGTCCCCACCAGATATCTAAGGAGAAAATATAGATAAAAAGGCAGACGTCTCATCGTTTGCAATGTCAAAAAAATAAATAAAAATCATTTTAAAAATAACGAGTAAATAGTTAGTATCACCATTACCTGCAATACATGCGACAACAGCTACCAACTTGATGAACGTCATTTTGGAGTGGAAGGATTACGGCCAAGGAATGGTACATAAGGTTAAAGAGGAGTCACGCAATCTTTTATCTGGTTTCGTATCTTACTCAAGATAACAGGTTCTACACTCCCTTTACATGTCCACTTGTCACACTTCTGTTACCGATAAGGACTAGGCCTCTCAATGGGATCTTTATATAACTCAACTAAAATCAGTGTGTTTTGTTTATGATATACGTTAAACAAAATGAAGTTGAAAACATATCACTTAACAGTGCGCCCGCTTTGTTTTTTTCTCAAAATCCTAATTGTATTTTATTCAGGTAAATCGCATATGAAAATTTGCAAAAGACATCTCATAGAAGTGGTTGGAAAATATAAGCGTATATTCAAATTCCTCTTTCTGTTGATCGACTATACTTAAAACCAAACAGAAACCTGTAGGCTTCTGTTAATATCATATTATGGAGATTTGTTTTAGCTTCGTGTCTACGCAAATTCCAGAATCGGAATCCTGACAGAAACGTGGGTTTCTCACTGCGATTCTAACGATAACCTGAGGTATCTGCTGTAGAATTCTGACGCTTTCTCGACTGTTAAAGTGTTGACCCAAACCTAACTGAAACTTGATGTTTTCCTCTCGGAAAATACCTTGAAACTCAAATTAACCAAGTCGATAACACTTCTTGGTATATTGATTTGATAAACGAGAAAGTTGAACCCGATGTTCTAGATTTTCAGTAAACATTTTCACAGCCGACACCACCAGAGAACAAGGGGCCGTGATCAAAATTGATATATTGAAAAACTGATGAGGCCTAAAAAGATGAAATAGCAGTAAGGTGCATAGTAATAATTCTGTTTTTATAACTACATTTTGTAAGTATAATTCCGCGTGTATATGACGTTCATCTTTCATAATCATCATTAGATTCATAATGTTATTTGTCATAAAATCATATGTGAATAGGTTAATAGAATGTCAATTAACATATTTACATACGTACTAAATAACTAGGCACGTTGGATAGTAAACGTGGGAAGTATATATGTGTTCCTTATATAGGCATACCCAATCCTCGATATTTAGGGGTTTCGCTCACTTTCGATCTCTGCACCCTTGGAATATGTCATAGCAAAACTGAAGGCTCAGTGTGTGTCACTTTGTTAATGAGACAAAAAGACTAGTTCGATCCTTTGATAAACACCAAAGGAATATCGCGGTTACGTAACGGAAAAAATTGACAGGCTTTGAAGTCGAGTGTCGCTCCTTTGTAATCTTCAAAGGACAGGTATCAGCCTAGCGATTGGCCAGGTTTTTTTTCCTGAGACCAATCAACCAGCTATCTTCGTGCCTTCAACTTTGCTATGACATATTCCAGGGGTGCAGAGAGCAAAAGTGAGCGTAACACCTGGATATCGAGGATGAGGCATACTCTTGCAGATTCGTGTGTTCCTTATATAGGCATACCCGTGCAGATTCGGGGGTAGGCCTGCTGTATCCTAATGCATTCCAAAGAGGCGACTGATGTGTGTGTGTGTGAGTGTGTGTGAGTGTGTGTGTGTGTGTGTGTTGTGTGTATGTGTGTGGTGTGTGTGTGGGGGGGGGGGAGGAGGGCACTGCAGAATCGGAGGTTATCTTCTGTGTGTTCTAGAGAACATTGAGGAGGGCAAAATTGATCTGCAGCTTCCACTGCTTCCACTACGCCGCTAGTGATCTTTTCTGTTTCTTATCTTCTGTCTTTTTCTACTATATTTTCTCTTTTCGTCGGTGTTAATTAGTCATATCCAAGATATTTGCATGCAAATTAACCCTATTTGTGTAATCAAGAGTTTTAAAAAACAGAACGACAGCGTACACAAGATTCGAAAAAGCATTTTTTTCACAAAAGGTTACTTCACCACGAGTTGCCTTCCCTTCCATATAAAACTAGTTAAAATAATTGTCGTCACTACCGTAACCGCAGGTTAACTCTTTCACCACCGTAGACCATAATGAACTCATCCTCATAAATGCATGGTAGAGTCTACTAAAGTTGAAAGGGTTAATGTCATATAAATAGCATTAGTATATTATTCCTGACGGTGATTTATTCTTTTTATCCTTGATCGGATGAATCACGTTCGTCATTTGCGATGTTCATGACAAATAACTCATTTTGAAGAATGCATACATCTGGGTAAGTAAGATGGATATATCGGTAATGACATCTAGCGTGGCCGTCTGAATCCCCAAACTTTTACGTATGGCTTTCAACAATGTTTAATGAAAATGACGAAAAGTTAGAACAATTCAATGTATTTCAACAGAATCCTTGGCGACCTTGGAGTCTTTTCAATTTCAGGGACATACATTCTAATAAACGTTAATGGAGTGATCATACCGTGATATGTTTTATTGTAGACTGCAAACATATCAAGACAAACGTCCAATTACTTGTATCCTAATTGGCTGGAAAATTACTTTCTTGTCAGTCGTATACTAGTCATGCAAACGCAAGAAAATCTATACATATGTATATCAATGAATGAGATTTGATCATTTCATAGGAAAAAAAACCACCTAAATTTCAGAAGTTGTCTGTGATATCAATACAGGTATGTGTCATATGATGTCAACGACTAAAGATAATATGATAAACTTTTTTTATTCTTTACAGAGATGCAGTGTATTCTAACTTGCACACACATCATTCAGACAAGAGCTTAACTTGCTCTGAGAAACGCCAGCAAAATGAAATTAAAGCAAATGAAAAAATGTTACTTTTAGATTGTGTTAACGTTTAGCAAATGACAAGAGCTAAATAACCTTCATCTTTTTATGCAAAATAAAGGAGAATTGTTTCAGAAATAAACAAAATGAAATCAGTGTTAATTTGCTTCACTCAGGTTGAAATTTGGTGGCCTTCATGAACCAAAAGAAATATGGCATCATTCAAAAGGAATGCAGAGAAATTCTGAGTGGAGACGTCATCTGTCTATGTTATTCTATTTCTGGATCACGAGACATTGCCCGAAGCAATGGCGATAATCGTCGAGTTATTTGTACAAGCGATGATGTAACATTGGTATTTCTGTCTAATATACTGCCATAGGCCAAACACGTTATATCTAATTATATATAAAAGGCATACTCGCTGTTTAATTATCTGAAACTATATATGTTACATTTCAATTAAATATTTGAATGATAATTAACTCAGATTTGTTGTTTTAGTTAAACGTTTTAGCAACAGATACGGGGACACCGCCGAACAAAAAGATTGCCAATGTTCCACTTATAACTGCTCTCCAATGTCCTCAAAGAAGAAGACACAAAATAAAACCAAGATTCTGCAGGGAGCCGACACAAGTCACCTTTTCCGGGACGCAATGGGATACAGTAGGCCTTTTCTTTCGCCGAACCAACACAGGGTACACAAAGTAAAAACAAAACACCTAGAAGGTTAGAGGAACATCTTGCACTGCTAATAAGTAAAAGTAGTATATAAAAAGGACATACAATAATAGTACAGGTAAACTCTGCAATACATTTTGTCGTTTACTATTGGCAATTATTAGATATTTTGTCAGGATTGTCATTAAGACACACAAATACCAAACTCTTTTTTTGTTTTCCTACCCTAGTATTTGCTCGTTTCTGTATCTATTACAAGACTCGGGCGACTAGTTAAAGATAAAAACATCAATCCAGCCAAGCTTAAATTATTAAAAAGCAATATATAAACGCTCCATTAACACTGACCAATGACCGATTTACGTTATCGTTCAAGTTGTGTTGCCTATAGTTTCGATTTCGTATTAATCCTTTAGGAATACCGATCAAAATATTTTAAGAGATTGCTTCGGTTTATTCGCGTCTTATTATGAACATTGTACAGTCTATGCTAGCAATGACTCTGTAACAGTATACTTTGTATCACCTATGGTGCTGAGCGTTCAATTTGTAAAGCTTAATAGGATTTTGACCAATATTTTTCATAATTTCATATTTAACGGTCATGTGATGCAAAAATACTTGTAGTCACCGAAACCCCGTTTCTCTCGGTATTCACATGATGGACAGGCCACGTGACGCCCCATCTATATCAGCATACTGAATATGCATACTTTTAACTTAGTACAAGGTCACGTGATGTATTACGTCACAGCGGCACAGCTATCCGATATCCTGTTATTCTGAAACGTTCTTTACATATTTTTTTGCATAACAGTGTAAGTTATGACATTAACCAATAAATGGCGTAGGAATAAAAAAAAACATCAATCGACAAATAAATAGAATGTTTTTACCCGAAATCTTTGGGCCAGCATAAACTACAGACAGATAAAGTTATGAATGAAATAATGTATGTTAAGGCCAGGGGTGTTAAATTGGGAATGACATGGCCAAAGGGCATTTATAACCGATCCTCCAACTAACACAGATACATGTAGGTGAACCGTCACGTTTCATTTTGTCCTCGATGTTGAAAGGAAAAACATTGTCGATAGGATCATAGAAAATTTCAACAAAATTAATCTTTATTTTACATGCGTTTAAACCTTTAGCTAGTAACTTGGCATGAAAACTGACAATGTTGATAAGGTAAAGATGTGTGTGTGGAATTAAATCTAAGTCCGTGGTATCATATACGATATTGTTTTTGTCATTAAATTTCCGAGTTGTGAAGTTTTATTAGTTTTGTAGTAATGGTGGTGCTGATATGACGTTTACTGAAAGTGTTAAACATCAACACGAACATTTACTGAACATTTAATCAACAAAAACATATCTTCAGGGGCGGATCCAAGAGTTTGTGATGAGTTGTGTCACACTTTTCAGAATAAACCTTCCAATTATATCTTATATATACATCTCACCTGAGACAGTGCGTATATATATATTGTGTTTGAAAAACCCAACACCAAACCAATGTTGTAAAGCCTAGTTGAATTGAATATCAACAACTACAGCGAGTCAGAATCTTTTTCGAGTTTGAATTTCACGTATATTTGGGAACCTGTTTCTTTTCGGAAAACTATTTATATAACGTACATCCCACATATTCCATCCTATAGCACATAAACCACATCTATATTCACATACAT